TCCCGGGACTCCAGGATCATGACCTGAGCCGAAGGCAGTCGCTCAACCAACTGAGCCACCCAGGCACCCGTCCCAGAGCTTTCTGATTTGCCAAAGTCCCAGAGAAAGTGTGGACTATGCAGGAACTAACAAACACTCTCAGACTAAATTCTAAAAAAAGAATAGAGTTATCCTACGTACCGTTGTGTTTGGCACAAATGATCAGGATTGCAACAGAATTTAAATTATTCAGAGAGAAACATTCATTTAGCTTTAAAGCAGGGGTCTGCATGCTTTTCTGTAAAGGCCAGATAGTAAATATACTTTATAGGCCATTAGGTGTCTGCTGTGGCTCCTCAACTCTGCCCTTGCAGTGCTCATACAGGCATGGACAAGATGGGGGGCCGGTGAGTGCAGCCGCATGCCAATAAACCCATCGACAAAAAAAAGCAGCAGACACGATTTGGCCAAGCCCTGCTCTAATGTGAGGGTTCTCAAGTTCTCTATGGGCACAAGAACCCCCTGTGGAACTGGTTAAAAAGGTAGGATGCTAGGCCCCAGCCTCCTCCGACAGAATCAGAATCTCTAGGGATGGGGCCCGGAAATCAGCAACTTATAAGGTCCACAAGTGGTATGTAAACCACTTTTTGGTTTGAAAAACACTGTGGTACGCAGCTAGTTTCATCTAAGGTGGGATGGCCCCACTCTCCTAGATGCGGGCCAGCACTTCCTGCATCCTGTGGCAGTAAAATGCACTGTTTTATCTTTTGTTGGCCTTTCTAGTAGCAGGGCAGATGAAGAAACTGCCATTTTTTTTTTTTTTTTTTTTTTTTTTTAGCCTAAAAATGCAAAAAATAATTCTGCTTTGGTGAAATTAACACAAAACTTAGGATAGGAATTTAAAAGAAAATCCTCAACTTAAAATAACAAGAGTCCAACAAAGATCTCCCTTGAAGTCCTTTAGACTGTAGAGTGAGTAGACAAGATCCTTAGCAAGGGACAGGGCTAAATCTGAATAGTTTACTGTGTGCTCCCTTTCCCAAAATACGTCCAGCGAAGGCTTGCTCTGTTGCCTGGAAATTCCACTCCTAACAAGCCATTAGTTTGTATCTGGAGGTCTTTGCTTAAATGGAACCTCCTTCAAACTCTCATAAAGACGGAAAGTACAAAATCTCTGTAGACCTCCGAGGGCTGCTCCCAACTTTAGCCATCAGTGGCAAAGAAATTATTCAGCTAAGTCCAGTTGTGTCCAAAAGAAAGTAGCTTTGGATTTGGTTGTCTGTGTCAATGGCCAGCAATCAATCACCCGATCAAAGTGGCAGTGATGTTCAGGCTGGGAAACAGCGCCGCCTCTTCTTCAGCTCTCCAGATTTTCCTAGGAAGGACAATGAATATCCTAGAGTCAAAGGGATTGTCTTCCTAAAGGGAGCTTCCTAAAGAAAGCACAAATAATCTACAGATACCTCCAGGGAATGCAGCTCTTACTGAAGCTTCTGCTGCTGCTAGAAATGAAGAGGAATGCTCAGTGAGAGCAGATGTTCTAATGATTACTAAGATATGGGCTTAGAATGCCTCCTAGAGTTATTGCTGCAGCAGATGACACTGTTTTTTGTTAGACAACAGGGGTATGATTCTGAATTTCTGAAGCCAGGCTGAGACTAGTACTCTATCACCAGCACACTTAATAGGCCGTTATATATAGGCAGTGGGATTTAGCTCTACACTGTTAGTAGTCAACTAAAATTTTAGGCAAAATGTCTCTGGAGTCCAACACCCATAGCCCCGAGCTTCTGACCGCTCCCCTTCCCATGGGAGCGGGGGGGGGGGGGGGGACCCAAATTGCCATTTTCAGCAAAGTAGGAAAACCTGTTTTTCTACTCGGTTTCCAACTTACAGAAAGAATCGGGAATTGGAGTGCCAGGGGTACAAAAGCAATGCAAATGCCTATCAAAGCCAGGGGCCCCAACATACTCACCCAACCTCCCTGGCCCTGGACAAACTCCCGGATGGCACTGTTCCCATTGATCATGTTTGTCATGGGGACAGCCACCTGTCTTGCCATTTTGGGAGCCATGCGGGCCACATATTCAAGAAGCTTCACTGACACTGCCAGAAAGGCTCTCTCGTAAACTAAGCTGGAATCCTGAGCACACCAGGCCTGGCTGAGAGATTGCACTGTGTCCCGCAGTACAGCGCCTGCCTGGGGAGAGACACAGGAAATCAGTGAGGTGTTGATAAAAAGGTACAGGAGGCTGCAGGTGCAGGAGTCCAGTAAAGCAAGAGTTTCCTAGAGAATGGCAAATGCACCACTGGTTGTATCTGGAGTAATCTTAAGGAGTAGATGGACAAGTTTTATTACTTTGTTATTTACTGTAATGGGTATAGAGAAAAACATAAGTAGCCCATCAAGCCCATGAGTTCAGATATTATTACTTAGGATGAGCACAAGGGTTGAAAGAAAAACAAAATGATTTGAAAGAAAAATATTAAGTATATGATGGTACAGCTGGTCAAGTTGTAGAGGTATTACTTGAATGACTGAAGTCTGGGAAATTCTAAAGTTAAAAAAAAAAAAAAGACCTGTTTTTCCTCTTCCTCTTTCCTTCCCCCCAAAATTGATCTAGAAGTCATTAGGTGGGGCCAAGCAAGATCTACTGGGGTGTAGTGTAGGGGAACCCATGGTAGTCAGAGCAGGTTGTCAGAACCCAAGCAAGCTGGGGCTCGCCTGGGTGGCTCAGTCATTAAGCATCTGCCTTCCGCTCAGGTCATGATCCCAGGGTCCTGGGATTGAGCCCCTCATGGGGCTCCCTGCTCAGAGGGAAGCCTGCTTCTCCCTCTCCCACTCCCCCTGCTTGTGGGTTCCCTCTCTGGCTGTCTCTCTCTCTGTCAAATAAATAAAATCTTTAAAAAAAATTTTTAAAGAACCCAAACAAGCTGAAGAGGGCATCCACATGTGTACCCAGATCTTGGTTTCCAAATATCATTCTCCACTGAAAGACACCAGAGCTCTCTGGAGAATGGCTGATTTCAGGCTGGGGCTCGGAAAATACAAGAGATCTGTCAGAAATTAAGGAAGTACTCACAGAATGACAGGGACATGCTAAAATGACACAGTCCAGATGGAGAGGACTCCCACTGGTCAAAACTGGGACAATTTGAGCATCCAAATAAATAATGATAGTAACAGATTATAACCCTTGAAAAAAGTAGGAATTCATGAGTCCATGTTGCTATAAAAAAATAAATGAATAGATTGAAATGTTGATGGGATATGGGATATTTACATGGTTTCAAAGTACCCCCCCTCCACAACACTTAATTATGTTAACCACAGATATTAACTACAGTGGAGAAGACTTGCAGACACCATCCTAAGTGATTGAAGTTAACATCAGTAATGTGACAAATTAAAATTTGTGCCACTTAATAGGTGCAATGAGAACACAGCAATCCTTCCTACCAAAAGTACATACCCTGAATCCACTCATGAGGAAACATGGAACAAACCCAAGCTTAAGGGACATTCTACAAAATAACTGACCCATAATCTTTGAGCGTCAAGGTCAAAAAAGTCAAGGAAAGACTGAGGAACAATTCCAGGTTGAAGGAGACTAAAGAGACATGACAACTAAATGCAGGATCTGATTCTGGCCTGGATCTTTTTGTTGTATGTGACATCATTGAGACAAGTGGCAAAACTTCAACGGGATCTGGGGACAAGATGATAATGTGTCAGTGCTGATTTCCTAGTTTTGATGTGGTTATATAAAAGAATGGCCTTGTTTGAAGGAAATGTGAAAGTATTAGGGGATGATGGAACATCTTATCAGCTACCTACTCTCAGATGATTCAAGAGGGAAATTCTTTGTACAATTAATTATGTGCAACTTTCCTATGAATTTGGGAGTTCCAAAAACTTTATTTTTAATTAAAAAACAAAAGTAAATTCAGCTCTCAGCTACCTAGGAAAGTTTCAGTGCAAGCTATTAGGAATAGTAAGTCCAGTTCTGCCTGAATAGGTGCACCATCCAAGCTATATGTGGTAAGAAGAATAAAGCATAATGGTGAAGAGTGTGGTTCTGGAATCAGTCTGGGTTCAAATCCTAACTGAGTAATCTAACCTAATTTCTTGTTTCCCTCTTCCTCAGTTTCCCTATCTGCTTAAATGGATATTGAGTCAGAAAATATTTATGGAGGGTCTCCCGTATAGGAGGTACTAGTCTGGGTTGTGTGAATACTGCAGTGAACAAAGAGGTTAGATGTTTGCTCTCACAGCATTCCATACACAGGAAGAGAGGTTGCCCTGTGAATAACAGTTCCTATAATACGCCAGGGAGTGGTGGAAGATTTAAATGAGATAATAAGTGCAAAGTATCTGTAATACTGTTTGGCACCTGTTAAGTGATGTGTTCATATTACCTGCCATTATCGATATTAATCAGCAACATCTTCTAGAATGTCGCCTATGGTCTTTACATCCAAGGCAGAATCCAAGTGCCACTGCCAGTAATCAACATTCTGATGAAAAGCCAGCTATGCCCTAGATGGCTGTTGTAAGTACTTATCCCTCATTGCAGCATACTTGTGGACTTCCTGCCTTTCTGGCACATAATTTCATTGCTGGACCTTGGGGGGGTATGAGGGGAAGATGCCCACTCCCAGCCAAATCAATGTTAAAACAGGTACATAAAAGAATAAAGTGCTTTACCAAGAACAAAGTGCTGCAGATGTGCTCTACGTCACGTAAGCACAGCTCTGCTGAAAAACAAATGGGAACAATCTGAAGGTTGACCAGCCCTTGCCAGTACCTCTCAATACCACTTGGGCCTTTGATTAACTCCTGAAGAATTAGCAATCGGAGAATTATTGCTGTGTCTCCTTGGATGAACATAAGCCCCCAAATCTTTCGCAGGACATTTTTAGTTATAGCCATATAAGAGTGGTAAGAAAAGAGCAACTGGAATAGAAAAAGAGCAGCAACTTTACCTGTCCCTGAATGGTTTCTGCAATGACATTTTTGGCAGAAGCTTCCAATTCTCCATTGAACTGGTCACCCAACATCCTAAGGCGGCCAGCAATGATGGCCACGTCAAAAGAGCAAGACTCTCCTAAGATGGAGGGAACACATTCACATTTGTTACAGAACTTGAAAGGACGGCCAGTCCCAGGAATCTGGGCGTTGGAGAACGTTCTCTAGACTTTAAACAATTTTGGCATCATTTTCTCCCAAGAACACCTTCATTATTCTGTCAACCCCATAGTCAGAAGATCTCCCTTCACTGAGAATATCTTTCCCTTCCATGGAAACTACTGATTTTCAGGTATTGCTGAAAGCTTAGTTTGCCTTTTGAAACTTAAGAGGAAATAAGAAAGCATACTCAGATACTCTTATTGACCTACAATCACCACCTCGGGCCAGGAGCCTTACCTGAATCTGGTTCATCTCCATAATGTAGGTCCCGGTTAGCAACCTGCACTGTGGTGCCTAAGAAGTCTGTAAGTAAAGTGTCCACGATGCATTCCGTTTGCTCCTCAAAAGTTCGGGGCCTCTTCATTTTCAATGCTTGCTGCAGAGTTTTTGCTTTTCCACAAAACAAGCAGTTTTCAGTTCAGCAGGAAGTCAGAAATACTGGTAAACCAGATACATCTACATTTGTACTTTGTAAAGTTTCCTAGTGGGACATGTAGTCCTAGAGCCTGTCCCACCAATTTTTTTCAAAACTAGCTGTCAGAAACATGGGACTTCTCTGAAGAGCTCACCTACACAGACTGGGAAGACTTTTTGAAGACTCTTAGTTCCTTTTCTCAGAACCACACCCTAGCCGGTACATAAGATTAATGAATAACTTTTATTTTTAGCCAATTTATAACTGAAATAGAGTTGAGGAAGAGTTTCTTGGGCAACTTCATTTAGAAATACTTCCTGTTAGGGTTCTGTGTCTGGTGTAACTTCAAGAAGGTTCTGAAGTTACAATAGACAAGCATTCAATTCCTGATAGATGGCATTTGTGTGCCACAGTCCGACGTTTTAGGTACTGTTTGTGGGTAAGGAACGATGCCTGGCACTACAAATAGCACAGGAAAATGACACAGACACAGCTTCTGTCCTCATGGAGCTTACGTTTCAGCATGCACAGCAGGTATTACGTGACCAATCCCAGAATTTCTTGTGCTTATTGAGACAGTGTGACCACAGTGTGCAGTGGAGAATCAGAGCTAGGGGGTTAGGAAGGCTTCCTTGAGGTTGTAACATCTTAGACGAGCTCTGAAGCGCGAGCGAGACTCTAAGGCAAAGAGGAGAGATAAAAGCATCCCAGGTGGGAACAGGAGCTAGAGAAGCTGACGGGGGTGGGGGTGGGGACAAAGTTGGGTGTTTGAGGAATTCGGAATGGGGACAGCACAAAGTACTTCACAGGGAAATTATATGAGGATCAGATAAGATAATGTTGTGTGGGATGATCCAGCAGTTTCTGACATGTAGTGTTAAACGTCTTTCCTATTAGCCCAAGGCCTGAGGACCAGGATGACAGGGATCTGCGAGTCACTCTCCAACAGAATAAAGTAGGATTCTCCTGACAGGGGTTAGACACCATCACTGTTTTCACGAGATCTCATGATTGGACACTTACCCACCGTGGCCACCTTCTTAATGTAGCCACACTTAGATTTTGGATTTGGGTGTCAGCACTCAAACTATCAGGTCTTCCAGAGTATTCTGACCTGGCGAGCTGCTAAGAGATTCAGGCATAAGCAGTAAGTCAGTTGTTCAGAACGAAAGTTCTACTTGCAAAATAAAGAGAACAAATCTTCTGTTTTCTATTCTACTCTAAATAGATCATAAATTGCTTTTGGATGAGAAACAAATTACGTAAAGGGCCGTTTTCATTTGTCATCTATCACTAGGGCTGAAACTTCAGTTTCTGCTGAGTAAGCTTCAGACCTCTAATGTAAGAAGGTCCTTCTGAGATAATTCTGAGCCACCTCCTTTCACACTAGAGCCAGTTACTGAAAATTTAAGGATTCCATCAAATTATGACATACTCCCCAAATAGCATACGAAAACAAACAAAAGGTTTATAAGATACCATCCAATTGGTGTTAAATATCTTACCCAAGGTAAATGACATCCGTAAGTGGCAGAATAGAAATTTAAAACCAAGTACGTCCTACCTCAAATAATAAACCTTTTCCCACAGTAATTCGTTTCATGGCTGATGTACTTATGGGCAAATGCCATCTTCGGAATCTAATCTTTTTTTTTTTTTAACATATAATGTATTATTTGTTTCAGGGGTATACGGCTGTGATTCATCAGTTTTACACAATTCACAGCGCTCACCATAGCACATACCCTCTCCAATGTCCATCACTCAGCCACCCCATCCCTACCACCCCCCTCCACTCCAGCAACCCTCAGTTTGTTTCCTAAGATTAAGAGTCTCTTATGGTCTGTCTCCCTCTCTGGTTTCGTCTTATTTTTCCCTCCCTTCCCCTATGATCCTGTCTTGTTTCTCAAATTCCTCATATCAGTGAGATCATATAATTCTTTCCCTAACTGACTTATTTTGCTTAGCATAATACCCTCGAGTTCCAACCACGTTGTTGCAAATGCAAGACTTCATTTTTTGATGTCTATATAATATTCCATTGTGTGTGTGTGTGTGTGTGTGTGTGTGTATACATAAACACCACATCTTCTTTATCCATTCATCTGTTGATGGACATCTAGGCTCTTTCCACAGTTTGGCTATTGTGGACATTGCTGCTATAAACATTGGGGTGCACGTGCCCCTTCGATCACTACATTTATATCTTTGGGGTAAATACCCAGTAGTGCAATTGCTAGGGTAGCTCTATTTTCAACTTTTTGAGGAACCTCCATACTGTTTTCCAGAGTGGCTGCACCAGCTTGCATTCCCACCAACAGTGTAGGAGGGTTCCCCTTTCTCCACAGCCTCGCCAACATCTGTCATTTCCTGACTTGTTAATTTTAGCCATTCTGACTGGTGTGAGGTGGTACCTCATTGAGATTTTGATTTGGATTTCCCTGATGCCGAATGATGTTGAGCACTTTTTCGTGTGTCTGTTGGCTATTTGGATGTCTTCTTTGCAGAAATGTCTGTTCATGTCTTCTGCCCATTTCTTGATTGGATTATTTGTTCTTTGGGTGTTGAGTTTGGTAAGTTCTTTATAAATTTTGGATACTAGCCCTTTATCTGATATGTCACTTGCAAATATCTTTTCCCATTCTGCCGGTTGTCTTTTGGCTTTGTTGACAGTTTCCTTGGCTGTGCAAAAGCTTTTTATCTTGATAAGTCCCAATAGTTCATTTTTGCCCTTGCTTCCCTTGCCTTTGGCGATGTTTCTAGGAAGAAGCTGCTGCGGCTGAGGTCGAAGAGGTTGCTGCCTGTGTTCTCCTCAAAGATTTTGATGGATTCCTTTCTCACATTTAGGCCTTTCATCCATTCTGAGTCTATTTTTGTGTGTGGTGTAAGGAAATGGTCCTGTTTCATTCTTTGCATGTGGCTGTCCAATCTTCTCGACACCATTTTTTGAAGAGACTGTCTTTTTCCCATGGGACATTCTTTCCTGCTTTGGAATCTAATCTTTGCCTTATCTTATCCTCCATTATCTTGTAGAATCAATGTTGTAAGGCTAAGGAAATGGAGTATACCTTCTCTTGGACAATGTAGGGTAGTTTCCTCCTTTGTGTATTTCTTCTTGAAGTTTCATTATAGCATCTTCCCAAACCATCCCATCCCTTCTCCCACAGCTCACATAACCCTCACTCTTGCAGTTCAAGTTCTGTCTCCCACTTATTACTGAAAAATGAGGCCACCATGTTTTCACCATCACTTGCTTCTTTTCCTGCTCTGGCCACAACAATTTACATCCTTCTCTCAAAAGCCTCATCACCTTTTATCATTGGCTCAAAGTCTAGGGTCTTGTCATCTGCACCAAGTCTGCCTGTAAAGGAGGATCTTGGGTACAGCTCCACTCAATTTGTAAATCTATAACTGAGAAAGTAAGTTCTTTGTCTCCCCTCCCCCGAACACCCAATATATGAGAAAGGGATGGAATAATGGTAACAGAACTCCCATTCAAAAAGGGGGGTGGGAGAAATGGAGGCATTTAATAGCCACTAGTCCATGGCAATAAGATTATGGTCAGGAACTACATAAATGATTGCCTCTGCAATGTTCTAAAGTGCCATGGTCGTCAGTGGGCACCTATTACATGTGAAATACATACTATTTCCCAACAAGACAGACATTAGAAAGCCATTTTTCTAAAAGCACAATATCAACCATACTCAAGGATTTTTAAAAATATGCATCTACTTATATCACATCATCAAACCATATGTCTGCCAAGGCTAGAGAGACCTCTTAGGGAGAAGAAATATAATTAACTTCATGGTATACTTAAGCTTTAGTCATTTTGCTTATAAATGAGCAAAATCAGGCTAGTTACGAGAAATCATTTCTTCCTTGAGATTTTAAAAGTACACTTTTTCAAAAGCAACAGTTTCGTATTCTGCTATGCCCCATATATTACAGAGAAGCAACCAAGTAGGACTTAATCTTTTTAAAGCTCCAGTAGCTAGGATCATTTTAGTAACATTTATTCAATTATCGAGGCATACCTAATTTTCTTTAGGTCAACATTTCAATTATAGTCTTTAATTTTTTAAAAAAAGTCCATCAGTTTACTTAATCTTTACCGTATTTATCCTGTTCCCATATAACACTGTAAATTGGCAGCATTTTACACTTCCATTTTATTTCTTTTAGCACCTAATTAAACACTCATGGCTTAACTGAACAAGTCAAACTATGGAAAAGGCAATTCTGAAGCTGTTTTGATCTCGCTACATGTAATCCCTGGGGACCCATGATCTAGCTCATTCTCAATGAGGAGCGATTTTGTCCCGCCAAGGCACTTTTGGCAATGTCTGGAGACATTTTTATTATGACTGGGGTTCTATTGGCATCTAGTGGGTATAGGCCAAAGATGCTGCTAATAATCATCCTACAGTGCACAGGAAAACCCTCCACAACAAAGAATTATCTGGCCCCAAATGTCAGTAATGCCACTTTGAGAAACCCTAGTCTAGGTGGACTTCCACTGTTGTTTGGTTGATACAATATAGCAAAACACACACTTCAAACATCAACCCCAAAACACCATCAGAATCTAATTACTGACAGCCACTCATTTGGTAAATATTTATTGAGTCATCACTATGTGGCAGACTGTGGAGATGGAAGGAAAGAACATCACCGTCCTTAGAAGTTGTCCAGGGGGAAATCAACTCACAAAATCCAGGCCCTTGCCAGAAAATTCAATGCTGTCTGTTATCTACTCCTATTAAGAGCCTAGTTGAGAGAAGTGATGGATGAAAAAAATTTTTAAAGGTATGCAGTCCATTTACATATCTATGTGGTCAAAGTCCTTGAATTAAGCTAGATGATATTTGAATCGTGTTAAGTCCTTGAAGAAATGCCCTCCCTAAGCTTCATGTTAAAGTTATGCTCTCTGCTTTCATTGAAGAACACCGTAAGTCATGAGAAATCCGTTACTAATTTCCCCTAAGAATCTCGTACTTATCCCTCAGTGTCTCCTATGTGAAACTACCGGTAAATTTCTTTGAGAAATTAATATTGGAAGGCTTCTTCCTCTCTGATGACATCTATACACCTATTTCTCTTCATCCTGACTACCAAATCACTTAGCTAAATTTGAGGCTCAACTGTACCAATTATGTAGGCCCTTAAACCTGAACATTTGTGTACTTCCCCATCCCCAACCAAGCTGGTCTGAGGTGGTATTTCCATTTTCCCTGTTGTGGATCCTCTGGTTATTTATACTTTACTATATATATTTAAATCATTTTATCACATCTGCTCTTGCCATAAGTTGCGTCAGTTAATGTATATAATATGGGCAGGTATGAATAAAATTGAAAGCAAGGAAGAGTGACAGAAAACAATTACAACAGTACTGCTAGACACATGCACTGGAGGCCGTGACAGCCTGAACAGGACCCATAATGAAAGCATCAAGGGTCACAGAAAACTTCCTGCAAGAGCTCCTGACTGAGCAGAATGCTGAAAGACAAGGACTAGATGTTACCTAAAGAAGATATGAGGGTGAGGAAATGTTCTAGCCAAGAAATAAAAGCAGGAGCAAAGTACAGAGGTGAGAGAGAGCCTTTTGCATTCAAGGAATGCCGAGTGGTTTGCTTATGCAAGAACAGGGTGTTTAGGCGAGCGGTGAGAAGGACACTGAAGAGTTACTTCTGATGCCGCACTAAGGACTTTGGACTCTGGCCTTGAAAAGCATGATTAGAAAGAGACCAGTGAGGAATTTACTGCAGTAATACAGGGAAGAAAAGATGACCTCCACAAATGATGACTTCATCAGTTTCCATAAACATCAGGCATCTTTAATTAGTAAAACAATCCCTAAAACGGATTAGAAAAGAATCCAATTCCTATCCTCACCCCCTCCCCATCCCCTTTCCAATATTAACCTTTTCAACATCACCTGGAAAATGGGGTCATTCACCTATAGGTATTACAGGAATAAGTCAATAATCTTTGAACAAAAACATAAGAATCCTGATTCTGAGACTGTCCATTCTCCTTTGCATTTGATAGTATCTGGACTTACAAGCAAATTCTAGTAAGAAAAACTAGGAACTCTGATAGCTACTCATCTCACTTAGAACAGGCAGCAAGAATCTGTTATGATTTTATGTCTCCAATTGTTCCAAGCACAGTTTCTAATACAGAAATAAAACTGTTCAGGGTCTCAGTCCTCGGCTCATTTTGTTTCACAGAGATCTGCATTTCTGAGCTCTCGGGCTCCAAGAGCAGTTCCGTTAGGAACAGGCAGCCAGTGTCATCCTGGGCACCGAGGTAGGCCTTCCACGGGTGAGCCCCCGCCCTACTCATTGCGATGGTCTGGATGTTCACTACCTGCAGGGCCATCTGGAGGGTGTCAGGATGGACGGCTCCCCGCCAAGGGAACACTTGCTGATGAGCAACTTTCAGGCTAAACCAAGTCTTCTCAAAATACTCAGCAGTCAGCTGGCAACTGGGGACTAGCATGAGGGCGTCAGAATCAGGAAGTTCCTGTACTGTCTCCTTGCTCTCTTCAGGAATCAGGGGACCTAAAAGAGTTAGAAAGCTTGCGTAAGAGGCCTTCTTAATCTATACCAATTAGGTTTTTTTTTTAAATAGATTTTATTTATTTATTTGAGAGAGAGAGAGAGCATGTGAGCAAGGGGAGCAGCAGAGGGAGAAGGAGACTCCCTGCTAAGCAGGGAGCCCAATGCAGGGACTCGATCCCAGGACCCTGGGATCGTGACCTGAGCCGAACCGACTGAGCCACCCAGATGCCCCCGAACTATGATTTTAACTAGATTTCCATACGTACACAACATGCCTTCTATCCTTGGATAAATGATTGAAATAGCCAATGAAGATATTCTTTCTTGCTCATGAAGACTTCAAATTCACACAATAGTCTGAGACGTAGCTAGGGTACTCTACTTTCTAACAGTCATCGCAAAAGGTAAAGGTTTTTCATGACATGACGTAAAGTAAGGACTATTTTTACCTGGAGTGGCAAAGGATGCAGTGTTAGGAAGCTCTGGGCCCCAACGCTCCGCCCCCTGGTATTTAGAGATGGTTGCCCAGCGGGCTTTGCCATAGACTGGAACCAGCGTGTTGAAGTCTGAGGCCCAGCTATTCACAGGTCTTTCTGCCTGATCCTCCAAAAGTCCGAGAGAAGGGTCAGATTTAGGGCTACACAGGATCCGCTTCACTTCATCAATGCCAGCTAAGAGAAGTCGATAATAAAAGAGACCCCGGTCTCGTACTGCCATATCCTTTTCTTCCTCTGTGGTAAGACAGAGACAGAGTTAATTACAAACAAAACCAAAAACACTCTTTCTACCCTGTGTCAACTGCAATAGGGAAAAAAAAAAAGGAAGGACGGAGGAAACCCTAGAGAACATTGTCTTCTTGGGTCCCCGAGATGACTCACCAAACAGTGTCAGCTCTCAGAATGTTTACTATCTGACAGGGCAAGTACAGTTTCCTTCTGAAGAACCTACCTATGCAGTAATGTAACAGACGCCCCAGCATGTCCTGGCACTCGGCAGGTCGGGAGAGGAAAAGGCGCAGCAGTGCAGTGAGTAGCTCCATCTTCACAGCTGGAAAGGTCTCTGACTTCACATTCTCCACAAAGTCTTCCAACACATAGGGAGCATTGGGGATTCTTTCCCCATGGACGCCAAGGAGCCAAATAAGTGCCTGTTTCCCCTGGGGAATGAAGGAGTAAGAGCAGGTGCTCGACATTTGGCTGTCCCAAACACAGTGGCAGGTTTTGCTTCCCCCCAACGTCAGCAGGAAATGTATAATCTTTTGTTTACTTCAAATGGCACTGTTATCAATCCCCCACAGCCCGACTCCACTCTCTACAACAAACAGGAATAAAATGTTACTACACAAAAGGAGACTCGAGACTCCCAGAACCTGTGTTGGTTAAGAAATAAGGCTTCCTCAGTTTGGGGGCCTCTGCCCCAGTCTGGGGTTTAATGTGTCAGTGGAAGCGACTCAAAGATTCCTCTAAACCACTTGATGAAAGTGGTAATTAACCTAGAGTGCAAATCGGAGCCGTCTGTGAAGCTTCTTAAAAATCTATGTGTCTAGGTCTACCACTCCTGCATATTTAAGTCGGTGGGCCTGCAGTGAAGCCCAACTATGCAAAAACGATCCTGATTCTCATTCCAGCTAAAAACTCCATGGTCTAAATCTCTGGCTTAAAACTGTTCAAGAAAACAATGATATCAAAGCATTTGTAATAAAAATCATAGATAAATCTCATTTTTTATCACTTCTATCCTAACTACACCCAAAAGAGAATCTGAGGTGGCAATCAATTCTAAGAATTTCCACATTCAGACACCGGGTAGAGAAGAATTAGATTCCATTTCACAGAGCAGGGTCCCAAGCATTTCCCCTCTGCCTGGAGGTAAAGGAGAATGGCCATCTACCTCGCTGTCTTGAATGTTCTCCTCACAGCCGGGCAGGGCCTGACACACAGCTTCCGTACACTGAGGACACAACCAAACCAGGTCTCGGAAAGTTTGCACCACCACTACAACACAGCTCAGGATACAAGAGCACAGGATTAGAGGCTCCACGCAGGAAGGAATCAAGAGAAGTCACATATTCAGACTAGACTGCTATGTGAATTTCTGTAAAATGGGTGTTGGAGGGGTGGTCCATGATTATCTGAGAAATGTCTGACACGGGCAATAATTTCTTAAATGGATGTTGCTCTTATTGGATGGCTATGAGGACAAATGAGCTCATATATGCAAAAGCACATGGTAAAATGCAAAGCAAATGTGAGGACATGTTATTATTGATTGATATTCTGAAGACGGTATAAATGGAGCCACCACTGCTGGGACTAGGGTAGGGCAAACGAGGTGCTGTGGGTGTAAAATCTAAGACATGCAGGGTTAGCACCTGCATGAACCGGATAGTGAGTGCCTCTTTAAATTTTTGCATCTTGGGCACCTTGCTTGCCTTGCCCCAGTCCCAGCCCTGGAAGCCACTGCTGCCATAAAGCAAAAAGAGGGGTAAAGGTGGGGAGTTAACAAGCACAGGCATTCTGGTAGTCTTCATTATCTACAGAACAGCCTGGCAGAGTTATGGCAGCCAGAAGACCCTCTACCTGTTAGATCTATAGACCCTATGCTTCTCTGATGGCAACAGATGAGGATGCAAAGAAAAGTTTAAACCTCTGTTAAGCAACAACAAATATTTTTTGAGCAACAGCTATAGGAGAGGCAATTGACAAAAAAAATAAATAAATATAAATAAATAAATAAATACAAATCCTCAAAGGATAGCCAGCCATTACCTGTGGTAATGTGCTCTTGCCGAAGCCCCAGCAACTCTGTTAGAATCTGCACGCACTGATCTGTGTAGGTCCGGGCAATACCACCTACAGAGGAAGAGAAAGCAGAAAAAAGTGGTAAGTCCAAATCCTAGCACCTCATTTAAAAAAAACTTCCCACCAGCCAAAGACAGAGAGGACCAGGGATACCTTTGAAAAAAAAAAAGAAAGAAAAAAAAATCATCCCTTGCTTGATGAAATAACAATTTAAGTTTCCTAAGTTTGGTAAAAGTGAATTTTCCATTGAACAAGGTGGAAAACTTTCAGTAACAAAGGTATGTATGTGGCAGCCAGATACGAGGCCTCGAGGCACCACTGCCTGCAGAGCACCTCACAGCAATGTCCCTGCAGGAACACCTGACCGCAGGAGCTCTGCTCTCCTCTTTGTTCGCTCTTCCTGACCCTGAAAATAATCACTCTTTATTCTAATATAAGGGTTCCTTCTCCTCTTCCACTTGAAGCCCTCCAACAAAACATTACTCCCTGGCTGCTTTCATTTTGTGAGTCACTCTGGCCTTCTGAATCCCAGAGTAATACGAAAAAGCCTGTTAAGATTTGGGATTTATTCTGTGTTGGTCTGTACTCAGCACAATATATAGCCCATAGCAGAAGCTCAATAAACAACTGGTCAATTGTCACAGGACTTTGAGTCTAGAAAGCCGGGTTCTGACCCTGGGTCAAAAACTACATGACCTTTTGGCCACTTAATAACCTTTTTCTTTGAGTTTCTTCATCTCTAAAATGAGGTGGTAACACTTGTCCGCTTTTCCAGACTGCCTCCAAAAACTGTGCTAAGATGATATATGGGAAAGCATTCTGGATAGTAGCCAACAAAAGGCCATATAAATTTTAAGTACTCTAGTTTGAGTTACCTGTATTCTCTATCCTAGAAGATACGGTAACACCAGTGTTGACAAAAACAAAACAAAACAAAACACCTCCCTCCCCACTCCTGTGGCCACTGACCCCATTCTTTGGTGCATGGTAATTGGTCTCTGATGCAAGATTCATTCCCTTTTGTTCGCTATGATTCCACAGCTTCCTGGTTAGTTGAAGGTCTCCAAAAGGAAAAGCAGCAGACCCCTACCTATGGCAAAGATGGCAGCCTGGGCAAAGTCGGCTGACACGTCAGTGCAGTACCCTCGGAGCTCCTCTAGCACCTGCTGTACGTTCTCATCGTTCACCAGCTCGCAGAGCACCTCCACCTTCTGCAGCTTGATGTAGTGGGGCTCCGAGTAGGAGCAAAAAAACTTTTTGTAGTGGCTGCTAAAGTGACCGGGCAAACTATGCAAGATCTGACGCACATGACACAGGGCAGCAAAACAGAGCTCGCGGCTCTCTGAAGAACATGCAGCCAGCAAAGGGCCCTTGACTTGCACAAGCACATCAGTTTGTACATGGGGGAATTTTTTTGCCAAGATCAGAAAGAGTTTCGTGGCTCCCATCACCACACCAGGGCTACTGCTCTTGAGAAAGCTATCTAACAGATTGAGAATGTCAAACAGCTCCTCCTCACTGCGCGGTTGATAGCGTAGCAGAAAGTTCAATACTTCAGCCTGGCCCCATTGGTCCAGTTTTGGCATTCTAACCAAAAAAGAAAAGAAAAGTGTTATTTTAGCAACCAAATTAGGACCATCAGCATGCAAAAGCCATGTCACCAGTCATCTGTTCATCGTAACAAGGAGAATTCTTGAAAACAGGCTATCCCATAATAGAATTACTCTTTTCATGTACTATTTAAAGTTTACACAAAATAGGCTTTAAATTCCGAGATTTTACACTACAAATTCTCATGATCTAAGGCCAAGGACCATGATCACTATACCTAGATCCAGATTCTTTACAGTTTAAGACAGTATAAATCGCTTAGTTTGGGGGACATAATGATTGTAGAGGAGGACAGAACCTATTTCCACAGAATATTTCTGCCATCTCTCTATATCACCGAAAGAAACTAAGACAAATAAAAGAATCCTCTCAATGAAATATGAAGAGGTTAATAGTTATGGTTAACTTTACTACTCTACAGAAGTTGTTCAAGACGTCTCCTTAATTCAACATGTCAAGATCCCACTAGGATGCAGATCTCGTCATAACAAAAAGAGCACCGAGGCATCCAAACCGATTTAAGAGATGGTGGGCGATGGGCTTGTTGATGACAACACCTCCTTCCTGTTTCAGAATTTCCTCTAGAGACCTCAGGCAGTTCACAACCACAATTGGATCCTGGTCACGCAGCAAACTGTATAATTCATTTACCAGAGCACCGTCTATAAAAGAGCACGAAGATCTGAGAGAAAGAACTTCAGAGTCTCAGGAATAGAGCTGAGTGAGTACTAGCTCCAGGCAGACAAAGCTGAACTTCTCTGCTACAAAAATAACAAAGGCAATAATAAAGTGAAAGGCAAAAAATTGCCATCTCCAGACTATTCTAAGTAGCTAATGTGACAGATCTCACCTGGGCCCCAAAGAAAAAGCTTCTCTGATCTCAAAAAATACCAAACCAGCCTTTCTAAAGAGACAAGTACAGAAGTAGGGTGACATTACTATTTCCTACCAAAGTCATGTCATCTTTTACAAAGTCAAACATGTAACAGAGGCACAAATAAATACTGATCATGATGGATTATACTGAAACTTACCCACTTCAGAATCTCCATGAAGATTATGCATCTTGGCACAACCAAGGACTGCCACCCTTCTGACGTATGAAGCTTTATCTCGCAGACCATTGAGAATAGGCTGTTGGATATATTCCTGCACACCAGGCATCCTAAGCAACACATCCTAGAGTCAGCCAGATCCTGAAATACTAGTTTTGACTTAATTCAGCCTCTATTCACTTAACAGAAAGTTCAGTAGATGTTTGAATGTACATCTATCACATCATAAAGAATTAGGGAAAGCCACTGCCACACTTAAAAAGTCATACTTGAATTTTCATTTGGACTAATACTCCAGGGGCGGCAAAAACATGTATCTACACAATTGTTTACAAATCATTAACCAAAACCCAGAACTATTTCAGCAAGAGTGAGGACGGAAAACTCCCTTTAATGTAACCACATGACATAGTTTTTTAAGCCTAAGCAATGGCTGAAAACCTGAGTTCAGGTTACAACTGCATTTTCCCTAGGATTAAGAACCTCACCATTGAAGACCTGCCCCAGGGTCTCCTGAATACCTCAGCCACTGATAAACAGTCAGGGAAAAGGGTACTCACCTGAGGCTACACATGCTCCGTAACGCCAGCCCTCGAACCATTGGATTGGGATCCGAACAGTCTTTGCACAACGTATTAATGGCCAAGAGAGCCAGATCTGGTTTCAGGGGGGCATATGTACACATGTACAGATAAACCAACTTCTTCTGAACAATATCTACGGTGGCACTGGCCTTCACCATTTCCATGAAAACACCAGACATGTCCAAGCCCTGAGTCATGTGCCTGAAACCAACACACATAGCAGGAGAAGTAAAATACATAATCCCCAGCCTACAATGAGAGGCATTTTACCTATACACATCCCGGTGATCCAACTAGACTGTGAAGGAAGCAACCAAGTCCACCTTGTCTATTATACTGCACAATACTTCACACCATGGGCCTACGATAAACATTTTTCTATTCATTCAACAAACACTTATTGAATTCCTGGTACATTCCAGTCTAATTCAGCTTCTACATTCCAGAGATATGCTCTGGGGACGTAATCTTTATTTTTTTTGTTTTTTTTTTTTATGTTATTTATCAGAGAGAGAGACAGAAAGAGCACGCACAGGCAGGGAGAGCAGCAGGCAGACGGAGAAGCAGGCTCCCCGCAGAGCAGGAAGCCTGATACAGGGACTCGATCCCAGGACCCTGAAATCATGACCTGAGCTGAAGGCAGATGATTAACCGACTGAGCCACCCAGGTGCCCTTCTGGGGACATAATCTTGAAGAAGGCATGGTCTCAGATCTTTAGGAACTCAAAGTATAACTAAGGAGCAAGACAAAAACACCACTAATTACAGTACAAAAGGTAAGTATTAAAATAGGTAAGTGTTAAAACAGAAGTAACAAAGTTGGGGCACCTGGGTAGCTCAGTGGGTTGGTTAAGCGTCTGACTCTTGGTTTCAGCTCAGGTCATGATCTCAGGGTTTTGAGTTCAAGCTCCGTATCGGCTCTGCACTCAGCATGGGGTCTGCTTGAGATTCTCTCTCTCCCTCTCTCCCCACTCTCTCTCAAATAATTAATAAATCTTAAAAAGAAGTTAACAGACAAGGTGCGATGGGGACCCAGAAGTCTAATACTGCCAAGAAATCATAAAATGTTTCCAAAGAGGAAGTAATACTTTAGTTGAATGAGCTGGAATTTTCCAGGCAGGTGTAGTAGGTAGGTAACACATGCTTTGAGGCACGTAGACGTCAGCAAGAATGCTACATTCTTTTGAGAGTATGCAAGTAGTTGTGTTAGCAGGGTGTTCTTTGGGTGCTATGGTAAGAAGTTTGGACTTCCTTCTGTAGATCACTGTTTCTCAAACTGTGAGAATGTGAGATTCTCCTACAGGAATCAGATGAGAAATCTGTTTAAAATGCATATTGCTGGGTTCCATCCCACCCTCCCGAAAGCAGCATTACTGGATTGGATGAAAATTTTACACTTTTTTTTTTTAAAGCACCCCAAGGGACTTTTGTGCATACTAACGTTTGTTATCCACAACTGCAGCCAAGAGTTATACCTTTAAATTCATGTCAGGAAACTTCTGACTGAAATGAAGAGGCAAGGTCTGACCTACTAGTAAGCCACTGCAATTGCTTTGCTAATAAAACCAGAATAGCGGTGCCAACAAAAAAGAAATACATAGACATTTTCTTAAAAAAAAAAAAAAAGAGGATGGATATTTAGAACTATATATCCATACCATCTGACTTGAGAAATGAAAATCAGGCGTCATCAAGATGGACTCCCTCCCTTGGTCAGCTGGAGGGTGACATTCCTTAACCCAAACATAAGCGGAAGAGCAGGTTTGGGGAGAGGGGAAGGATGCAGGTGCTATTTTGCATGTCTTTGAAGAAATGTCCAGGTGGGAATGCCCAGCAGGCAGGAGGATATGTGGGTTTGAAGATACAAAAGGCTTTCTGTACTAGACTCTATAGATCTGGGAGTCAGCAGAGTTAGGGTCAAGACATGGGTGTAACCACCCTGCTGAGTAAACCAAGTCAAGCAAGTCCCCCAGGGGAGGCTGCGGTGGCCATCCGGAGAAGCAGGAAGGCCAAATCATACCCTGCCCTGAGTTCATTCGCTCTTTCCGAGCGGCCACGGGTAGAGGGCCCGGGTGGGGGCTGCGGCGGGGAGTTCGGGCGGTAGCTGATACCTAATCACTCGCTGGATGACATTCCGGTAGCGCAGCCTATCCGCCTGAACGTGAGGGTTACACAGAGCTTTCTTCAGCTCCTTCACCACGTCCTCGGAGCCAAGGTACGGCATCTTCAACGGCCACGGGGCAGCCCCACAGACCCCTAGGTAACTCGCGGGCTCCTCCTAGCCCTGACGGGGGAACCTGGGTAAAGCAAATGTCAGTCAGCGAAGAGACCAAAGGCGGGATCTCGCCCCAGCCTCGCCAGGCCCCAGCACACTCACACCAACCCTCTCCGCGCCCCGGCGAGCCCCAAACGAGGCTCTGTGGTTCCTTCCCGGGACCTGCAGGCCGGCTCGCTCCGCCTGAGACCGCTCCGGCTACCTCGAGGCCCTTCGCCGCATTTCCAGCCCCGCCGCCGAAGGTCCGCAGACCCCTCCCTCGCCAGTTCCAGCCCTTTGTGCGCCTCCGCCCGGTTGCCCACCCGGATAGGCCCAATCAAGCTTTTTGCGGAAGTCCCGCCTCCTCGGGGCCGACCGCGCACAGCAGCTGCCACTCACCTTCTCGCAGCGAGCGCCGAGCGTCGCCTGGACGCCGACCTTAGGGCGCCCTTCCCCCCCACCTCTCACCTCCAGGCGCAGCCGCGCGGCTCCCTCTGGTGGAGGCGCGGCGGGCCATCGGAAATCCGCTGCTTCGGCCTGTCTCCGCCCAGCAGCGCGCGCTTTGAGTGCCCGGCCTCAGCCCCGGCTCCCGCGCGCGGGTAGGAGTGGCGCTCAGTCGAGCGTCTTCCGCGGTTTGCGATTACCCCCAGGACTCCCAAGAGTACGGCCACTTCCTTCTTTCTGCCCACGCTAGGGACTGCTCCTCTACTGGCCTGGCTTCCGGTTAGGGTCTCTGGCCGCGTTGCCCCAGCGTGACTTCTCTTCAGGGCGCCGTTGCGGGAGCCTTGCGCGGGAGCTCTGTGCCCATGAAGATCCCGCTGGGGACTCTCCAGCCCCGCCACCATGAATGGGGCCCTGATCCCCCATACGCCCATCGCTGTGGACTTTTGGAGCCTGCGCCGGGCTGGTTCCGCGCGGCTCTTCTTTTTGTCCCACATGCACTCGGACCACACCGTGGGTTTGTCTAGCACCTGGGCCCGGCCCCTCTACTGCTCCCCAATCACTGCTTACCTCGTGCATCGTCACCTACAGGTACGGGGGGCCGGAGTCCTCCGAGAGCTGGGTCGAGCATTGGGTGGGATTTCCGATCTGTCACAGCCTCGGACTCCAGAGTAGGGGCCAGGAGGACTGATTTTTACAAATGCGGGAGTTGTTCGAACCCAGAAATGCGCCTTTAGCCCAGAATGGGAATGTGGCTTCTTGGTTGGCCCACTTGGGAAGTTTCAGCTATAAGTTGGGGAGATCTTTCAGCCAAGGAAACTAGCTACCTTTTCAGATAAACTAGGCCAGTGTTTCCCTAGTGTCCTCTAAGAATCCACCTCGTGTGCTGGGTGACACATTCTCCAGCGGCCACCGCCCCCCCCCCCAAAGTAGATTTAGCTGGTGCAGGTCCTGGAAATCTGGTTGGAAGTTTTTTTAACGGGTGCCCCCAAGGGATTATTATCAGGAAGGTTTGAGAATTGCTTGGCTAGACTGTTTTTTAGACTCTTAATTTACATTGTACAAAGGGTGGGAGGGGAGAGTGGGAGGAAGAAGGGAGGATTTGAGGGGACTCTCCATTATACCTTCTGCTCCAGGGTGGCTTAGGATGTCGTCTGCTTCCCCTGATTCCGGTAAAGGGTTAGTTCCTGATCCAGGGCAGTATCAACGAGGAGATTCTGTGTTTACTAGAATGACCAACTTTTTCCTCAGGTACCTAAGGAGTGGATCCGGGCCTTGGAGGTTGGTGAGAGCCATGTCCTGCCTCTAGATGAAATTGGGCGAGAGACCATGACTGTAACCCTCATGGATGCCAATCACTGCCCTGGCTCTGTCATGTTTCTCTTTGAAGGATACTTTGGAACCATTCTCTACACAGGTGGGCATTCCAAGGGGTTGCTCCCACCTTCCCAGCCTAGATACTACTTTTCTTGAGCAGTCTTAACTCAGAAGTCTGGAGGCCTCCTAGCTTCATCCCATATGACCACAGTGACCCTTTCTCAACTGATTTCCCACTCTTTAAGGTTTCAAACCTTATTAAGAGTAATAAAAACAGAAGCAGAACGGAGACCTTTCCAAAAAGAAGCTATACTATGTTAGTGCCAGACTTCCTGTTTAGTTTTTTCACAGGCTGGTAAGCAAATTTCCATCAGCTTTTGAAAGCCGGGAGAAGCTTGTGTTTCATACTTTTGCCTCTGACTCTCTGCCCCCGCCCCCAACCCCATATACTCTTCTTCTAGGTGACTTTCGGTATACACCATCCATGTTAAAGGAGCCAGCCCTGAAACTGGGGAAACAGATCCATACCTTATACCTAGACAACACCAATTGCAACCCAGCCTGGGTTCTTCCTTCCCGACAAGAAGCTGCCCGCCAGATTGTTGAGCTCATTCGAAAGCACCCACAACATAACATAAAGATTGGTAAGTGGTTTCCTTTCCTTTTTCTTTTACCCATAGCTAGTGAATCTTGGGTTTTGGGGGGGGTTCTCATATCTTTCAGGTCTTTGTAGATCCCCCCTTCTCCATGAAACCTTATTTAAAATTGCAGTCTTCCTGGGGTGCTTGGGTGGCTCAGTCCGTTAAGCCTCTGACTCTTGGTTTTGGCTCGGGTCTTGATCTCAGGATCGTGAGATCAAGCCCTGCCTAGGGCTCCATGCTAAGCTCCCAGTCTGCTTAAGAGTCTCTCTCTCCCCCTGCCCCTCCCAGTTGCCCAGCACTCCCCTCACCCCCATGCGTGCTCTCTCTAAATAAATCTTTTTTTAAAAAAAATGCAGTCTTCCTACTATCTCTACTCTGACATTCCCAACTCCTGATCCCCTATACCAACTCAACTTTTTCATTCTTTAATAGTGCTTATCACCTTCCAGTATATTCTGTCCATGTTTTAATATGCTAATTGCTTATTATTTGTCTGTTTTCCACGTGTCCTGCCATACACACAGACTCCTTGAGAGCATGGATGGAGGTAGGAAGGAGTCTTGCTTGTGGAACAGAGAAGTAGCAGCATGACAGGCACACAGTGGGTGAGGAGGCTGTCACGGGAGGAGGGGCTGAAGTGCTTGCTTGTAAGCTTGAACTTGGTCCTAAATGTAATTCTTTTTTTTTTTTAACAGTCCCCCTTTTTTTAAAAATTTATTTATTTATTCATGAGAGAGAGAGAGGCAGAGGGAGAAGCAGGCTCCCAAGGAGCAGGGAGCCCGATGTGGGACTCGATCCCAGGACCCTGGGATCATGACCTGAGCCGAAGGCAGACGCTTAACGACTGAGCTACCCAGGCGCCCCTAAATGTAATTCTTAAACGTAACTTGATCCAGATGGTTACATTTGGACAAAAAGCTATTGAAGGTTTTTAAATAGGAGAGGGCCAATATTGCATTCATCATCTTATAATGTATTCCACAATTTACATATTGTTGTTTTTGGTTTTTATTATCTGTCTACCCCTGCTAGAATGAATGTAAGTTCCAAAATGGCAGGGCTCTTTTTGTTACTTGTGGATACATCCCAAATGCTTAGATTAATGCCTGAGGAGGCACTCAATAAATATGTTATCTGAGTGAATGAAATTTTTTTTTTTAAGATTTTATGTCTTTATTTGTCAGAGAGTGAGCACAAGCAGGGGGAGTGGCAGGCAGAGGGAGAAGCAGGCTCCCTGCTGAGCAAGGAGCCCCAATGCGGGGCTCAATCCCAGGATCCTGGGATCACGACCTGAGCCAAAGGCAGATACTTAACCGACTGAGCCACCCAGGCGTCCCTGAGTGAATGGAATTTATCAGAATGTAGATATTCAAGTGAATGCTGTGCTTAAAATCAGACACATTGAGAAACCAACTGTATATTTGTTCTAGCAACTCCACAATAGTATAAAACATTTTGGGGCCTTTTTTTTTTTTTTTAATTTTATTGAGAGAGAGGGTGTGAGCACACATGAATAAGGGGAAGGGCAGAGGGAGAGAGAATCTCAAGCAGACTCCATGCTGAGCATGGAGCCCGATGTAGGGCTTGATCTCAGAACCCTGAGGTCATGACCTGAGCCGATCAAGAGTCAGATGCTTAACCAACTGAACCACCCAGGCGCCCTCATTTTGGGGCCTTCTAACTGGTACTTCTGATTTCAGCATCTCCTCAGCCAGGTGATCAGTAACACTCCTGCTATTTTTTTCTTCTAAAGCGCTCCTCTGATCATATTATTCCTGTGATTAAAATGAGCCATTTTCCTGCTGCACACTCTTTAATGGCTCCCCTTCACTTACAGAATTAAGTTCAAACTCCTTAGCAGTATATATGGGCCCTGTATAATACGACCCTTACCTCTCCTATGTCATTTATTACTAGTTCCTTTTTTGCACTTTAGTAACACCGAACCATCATCCCCTTCCCTTGCCAGGTAAACTCAGACCCATCCTTTCTCTTTTATGACAACTCAGTTGCCATTTATGAAACTCAGGAAGTTTCCCTAACTCTGTCAACCGGTAGATACTTTTCTGTGCCCTCATAATACTATGTGCATGTCTCTGACTTTGCTTCTGGGTCCCCATGTAGACTGCACTCCTTGAAGACTGAGGCTTATGCTTATTTTCACAGTGCCTAACACCTGGTAGATGCTCTCCTTTGTTGAACCGAACGAGTGGGTGGATTCGGTGTTAAGCCCTCCCCCAACCTCCATGTTTTTCAGCTCAAATGCCACCTCCTCCCTGATACACTCCCTGGATGCCCCATTTGTGTATTTTTGTTAAACATTTGGTTGATGTATTAGGATTCCCCAGTATCTCCTGTCTTTCATCCCTTGCTTTTCCCATTCCCTTTAACATGATTCAGGACTCTATAGCCTGGGAAAAGAGTCACTTCTGGAGCAGCTGGCCCTGGAGTTTCAGACCTGGGTGGTATTGAGCCCTCGGCGCCTGGAGTTGGTGCAGCTGCTGGGCCTGGCGGATGTGTTCACCGTGGAAGAGAAGGCCGGCCGCATCCATGCAGTGGACCATATGGAGATCTGCCATTCTTCCATGCTACACTGGAACCAGACCCACCCTACCATCGCTATCCTTCCCACGAGCCGGAAGATCCACCGCTCCCACCCCGACATCCACGTCATCCCTTACTCTGATCATTCCTCCTACTCGGAGCTCCGGACCTTTGTCGCAGCGCTGAAGCCTTGCCAGGTGGTGCCCATTGTCAGTCGGCAGCCCTGTAGGGACTACTTTCAGGACAGCCTGAGCCCCAGGCTCTCTGTGCCCCTGATTCCGGACTCTGTGCAGCAATATATGAATTCCTCCTCAAGGAAACCAAGCTTTCTCTGGCTGTTAGAAAGGAGGCTAAAGAGGCCGAGAACCCAGGGTGTCATGTTTGACTCCTCTCAGGACACTGCTGATCAATCTCCAGCTGCCAGGGACTCAAAGAAGGCCAAGAATGAGAACCTTTCTGGGGACCTTGAGAAGAAGGCTTCCCACCATCCTTTGCAGATCAAGAAACAGTTGTGCCCGGACCTCTGCTACAAAGAATGGGATGGGGCAGTCCCTATCTCTGAGTCCCAGAAGATGGTGACTGTACGGCCCACCCCCTTGAGTTTTTCAGTGCACTTACAGTCTACAGATGAGGAATTTCTTTCTCTAGAAACTGGGGAGGAAGTTGGTGTAGGGCCCCACTTGGGACCCAAGGGAGACCACAGTGGCTCAGCAGCCACAGGGAACCAGAGCGCCTGGCTGGCCCAGGAGTCTCTCCTGTCTTGCAGTAGCATGGCTACCCGTCTCCTGGCTCCTGAGTTCAGGGGCCTGGCACTAAAGTACCTTTTGACTCCAGTGAACTTTTTCCAGGCACAGTTCTCTTCTAGGGGCTTTGACCAGCAAGTGGAAAAATACCATAAACCATTGCTGAAGTCCAGAGAGGAGAATGCAGAATGATACCTTTGGTTGGTCCAGCACTGCAGTGTTAAAGACTGACTGATGGCTGGGGAGGAGGTTTGTTTTGGGCCTTACTTTTGTATCTTCACAGGATCCCTCTGGGCTCACCCTGGAGCAGTACTTCTCAAAGTATGTTCATTGGAGTCTCAGTGCCTATGGACTCATTAGTTTCATGGTTGACTATGTTTAAGAAACACTTTCCATTACGCCCCCTGCACGGTATACATGAGCACATTAAAGGTTCCCAGAAGTCTTGCAGTAATTTAATCTGCTTAACTATAACTCAGTATTTCTCCACCTCTTTTGAACATGCAGTCCTCTTATGTGAGTGCAGAAAGAGATATGGTCTGAATCCAAAAGGGCCAGGTTATTGGGGCCATGTGCCTGCCATTCCCCATGTCCCTTTCTCCCTCTTCCCAGATAAAAGAACCTAAGTAGTTAGGTGGTGGTGGTTGTTGTTTTAGTCAGGAACTGTGTTGCTGGAGGATAAAGTGGTGATCCAGACAGCACGTTCCAATCGCGAATGTCACTGACTTGCCATGACCCCATCAAAGAGACTTCCTGTCTTTGCCTCTGGGAGGGAACAGGAAGCAGTGAAGAACCTTGGAACAGTGGAGAGAAACTCCCCCCTGCCTCCATGGGAGTTTGCAGTTAGTGTCACTGGAGACTTCTCTGGAACAGAGCCAGCTAGGGGATTGGGCACCCCTCACCAAGGCCATACCTGGAACCAGCTGGGCATTAGACTTAGGGGTACAATGGCCTCCCGGCTGCCTGGAGGCCCTATTTAGCTGAAATAAAGTTATAAAAGATCAAATGTGCTGCCAGATATTCCTGATTGTTCACATAGCTGGGATATTTGCAGCTCTCCCCAACCCCCACCCCCTTGGGTTGAGCAGGGAACCAGAGCACACAGCCTGTTTGTTTTAGTATCCAGGGCAGAGACCAAGGAGCCAGCTGGTGGAAGGGGTGGGGGTGTGCAGCTCTGCCCTGTCCTTCTGCTCACAGCCTGATGCCATGCCAAACCAATAAGCAGGACAGCAGATACCACAGGCTCTGAGAGGGCATAGGCGAGTGGAGCTGGGCGTGGGTAAAAGCTGCTTCAGAATGGAGCCTTGCAATAAAGAAGGTGGTTTCTACTTTCAGAAGAAGATAGGAAGAGTTTAGAAAGTAAGGCCTTGCTCTTGGGCAAGCTGTGCACAGCTCTGTTTTGTCAGTGACCTTCACTGTAAGCCTCCCGTGGGCCCACTAGGAGCCGCAGCAGGGGAGGCATGTGGGGCAGCAGGAAACATGGGCTTGTCCTGGGCTCGAATCCAGGGTACCGTGGGCAAAGAGCTTCCACGTCTACATAGTGGAGCCTCTGTTCCTCATCTGTAAAACAGGGACTGCGAGACCTACCTCTCCTGGTTGCTCTGGAGGTTGGATAATTGGTAAAATTCTTAGCTCAGTGGCTGCACCATGATGGGTATTTCAAATATTGGTTCTCTTAGACTCTGGTTCTCTAAAGAGATTATTCCGTACATAAAACACAAAATTTTGGAAGTCATATAAAAACATAAAGAAGAAAAAGTCAATTTTAATCCTCCATGTACATCAGTTGTTTCCTTCTAGTCCTTTTTTGTATGTATAAATGTATAATTTTTTTTTTCAAAATTGGGGCAATACTGTATATAGTTTCAATCCTGCATTTTACTTAATATCTTAAACATTTCTTTGTACCATTAAATATTATTTGAAATGTAATTATGAATAGTTGTATAATACCTTATATAGGTAATACCATTTCCATATTCAACATTTTATGTGCCCTTTTTTCACAATTATACATATTACCGTGAACATCTTTATGCATCTCTCCTTGGAACAGTGGAGAGAAACTCCACTGATTTTTTGTTTATTTCCTTAGAGTAAATTACTGGAAGTGGGATTACAATTTTAAGTTATTTTGGGGGGAGCGGGAAAGGCCTGAGGGAGAGAACCTATGCCCAATGTGGAGCCCGATCTCACAACCCTGAGATCATGACCTGAGCCAAAATCGAGTCGGACGCTTAACCGACTAAGTCACCCAGGCACCTCTACAATTTTAAGTTCTTGATGCAAATTGTGCCCAGTTGCCCTCCAGAAAGGTTTCCTTACCATCCTTTCTGCAGAAGAGGATAGGATTAGAATACGTTGAAGATTCATCAAGTTCAAATAATGTCGTTAGACTGGAACATGTGAACATACGGCAAATCATCCTGTGTATTAATAAATATTTACTAGGGCTGTGTGGGCAAAGGCTTAGCCTGAGCTCCTTCAGGAGCTAGAGCTGTCTCACTTCTCGGCTACCCAAAGGTGGCTGGGAGAGATAAGGTAGTCTTCATACAAGGGCCCCCAGATTGGTGTTATCTTCTACTGACAAGGGAACCTGTCTACTCTTGGCCTGTGCTGGGTCACATGCATTCCTTGAAATGGGATCTCTGTGAATTCCGGTGGGGGGTGGAAGCAAATGGCTTTGAGGAATTTAGTTGTTGATGGCATGTTTGTGTTTTAATAATGGGAAAATTTTCTGAAGTAAATTTGGCTTAGAATAGAGACTGGCAATTACTTTGTTTGATAATCTCAATAGTCTCACATAAAAGTGCTGCACTGCATATATCTGTAAGTAGCCAGTTTTTTTTTTTAAGATTTTATTTATTTACTTGAGAGAGAGAGACAGCGTGTGTGAGGGAAGAGGCAGAGTGGGAGGGAGAGAGAATCCCAAGCAGACTCCCCGCCAAGTGTGGAGCCTGACACGGGGCTTGATCCCACGACCCGATCATGACCTGAGCCAAAACCAAGAGTCAGCTGCTTAACCACCTGAGCTACCCAGGCACCCCTTAATTTATTTTTAGAATCTCGGGATGACCGCACAGATCTAAGGCGATCTTACAATTAGGCTTGAGGATACCGGGAGAAAGGAATTCCATAGAGATCAATTAGTTGTTTCATGATCTGTGGGAAAACATGTACTTCTCTAAAAGAAGATGGACAGTGGCTTAAGTCCCTTTAAAGAAAAAAAAAATCTGCTTGGCTGGCTTTGAGGGGCCATCTCTCACTCCCTTTGTAGTAGGAAATAGGAGATAAGCGAGTCTGCTTATTCGAGGAAAAAGATTTGGACTTGGGTTCTCCATGTCAAGTCCACTCCCAGGGAGACCATTCTCTCTGCCTTCTTGGAGTAGTTCTTATGCAAGAGAAATCCCACCTGGGAGACCACGTTTACATATTGTTGACGCTACCACTACTGAATAGCTGTCAATTTCTTACCTGCCTCCCACCCTTCACCCTCCCTAATCACTACCACAACAAGCTGTTTTGTCTTGGGTTCATGGTGCTTCCCACTTCCTCCTGCACGGAACACCCCACCACATCAATACAGAATAATTCTGCTTGCCATTATAATCTAAACCTACAACTCCTGTGGGATTCTCAGAATGGTTAAGATTGTCTTTATTTTGACCACAGTGCTTTCATTTAGCTGTACCCTTCCACCTTGACTATCTCCTTCCTAGGTAACTTCCTCTTCTTTGAACACATCCTTAACCCACTGGATGCTCCCAGAATCTCAGGCTTGGTTCCTTTCCTGGACAGATGGCTCACTGAATCATCTTTCAATCACAAAAAACTTCTGGCAAGCCTTGGGTTAGTCTTTCCCTTATAATATTCAGATATTAAAAAACACAATTATATTATGGCTATTTTACCAATCCTGAATCCTCCCATCAATTTTCAATAATTTTGGGGAGTGGAGGATGAAAAGTTTGTCCTCTGTGCTATAATCCCATTCTTAATGTGTTCACTGTAATGTGTGCTTCTGTGGAACCAAAAACATTGGGTCCAGCTCACTCACCCTACTAACCGGGCTCCATAGAAACAAAGCATCAAGGTGGATCTAGACTGCTGTACAGAATGAGTCAGGGATATAAGGTTTGGAGAAAACCTGCTAAAAGGTTCTGAGCACCCAATTCCTAAACTGGGGAGGAGAGGTGGGGAGTCCCCCACCAACCAACAATTCTCTGATACCAGTTGGGTGTCGTATAATTCAACTCAATTCTGACACTCTCTACCTGGAGGTGGCCTCCACTCCCAGAGGTGAATGGCTCAATCCTACAAGACTGCTCTCCTCCCCTTCAGACACCAGTCACAAGTCCAGGTTGTCGCCTGTGCTTCTGACCACTGGCTATAGATTGGAGGTCCCAATGACTCCTCCTTGGGTTTGATTCATTTGCTAGAGCAGCCCACAGAACTCAGAAAAACATTTTACTTCCTAGATCATTGGTTTGTTATAAAAGGATATCACTCAGATGGAAGAGATGCTTAGGGCAATGCGGAAAGGGTGAGGAGCTTCCACGCTCTCTAAGCATGCCACTCTTTCCAGATTTCCAAGTGTTCACTCCTTCAGAACTCTGTCCTCACTCTGGATGACTTCAACATTCCAGCCTCTTAGGTTCTTTGGCCTCCTTACCTCCAAAGACTTTATTTCTGTCTTCCTCACCACCCTGTTATTACCAGAAATTGAACTACATCTGAAATCTCAATTTTAAATCTTTTCTCCCACCTTATTTACTAAAGTACCTCCATTGCCAATGTAAGCCCGTTCTGAGCTTCACTTCCCACCTTGACCCAACTGCATCCCACGATACATCGATATAATACAACTCCCTTGCTCTCTCTCACTCAGACACACTTGCCTTGAAAAACTCAAATTCTGAATAAATTCTACTATCTATCTGTTGTTTGACTGTACTGGAGCAGCTAGATGCTGTTGGAGAAACCCCTAAGCAGGCTGACTGGTTTCATTTTAAATTCATGACCTCAGGGGCATCTGGCTGGCTCAGTTGGTTAAGCAACTGCCTTTGGCTCAGGTCGTGATCCCAGGGTCCTGGGATCAGGCTCCCTGCTCAGCGGGGAGCCTGCTTCTCCCTCGCCCTTCCCCTCTCCCTGCTTGTGCGCTCTCTCTCTGTGTCAAATAAATAAAATCTTAAAAAAAAAAAGCAACTATTTAAAAATAAAATAAAATAAATTCATGACCTCATACATCAAATGGCCTTCCATTCTTTTTTTTGATATTTTTTACTTATTTTTCTTTAAATTTTTTTGTTATGTTAATCACCATACATTACATCATTAGTTTTTGATGTAGTGTTCCATGATTCATTGTTTGCGTATAACACCCAGTGCTCCATGCAGAACGTGCCCTGTTTAATACCCATCACCAGGCTAACCCATCCCCCCACCCCCTCCCCTCTAGAACCCTCAGTTTGTTTTTCAGAGTCCATCGTCTCTCATGGTTCGTCTCCCCCTCCGATTTACCCCCCTTCATTCTTCCCCTCCTGCTATCTTTTTTTTTTCTTAACATATATTACATTATTTGTTTCAGAGGTACAGGTCTGTGATTCAACAGTCTTCCACAATTCACAGCGCTCACCATAGCACATACCCTCCCCAATGTCTATCACCCAGCCACCCCATCCCTCCCACCCCCCACCACTCCAGCAACCCTCAGTTTGTTTCCTGAGATTAAGAATTCCTCATATCAGTGAGGTCATATGAAAATGGCCTTCCATTCTGCTAAGCAATCCTATTATGTTTCTTCAGTGGGCTTGGTTTCCAATTGTCCATTTCTCTTGGCTCTCCCTCCCCCCCACACCACCATCTGTCAGTAAATTCTGTTGACTCTACCTTGAAACGTATCCCGAATCTTATTTCTTTTCCCCATCTTCACCTCTACCACCTTTGTCCGAGGGGCCTTTGTGTTGTGTCCGAGTTATTGCAAGAGCCTCTTAAATGTTCTACCTG